CTAACAAATAAGCAGGTCAGCAAATTTAAACTTACCTAACCTAATCTAAACATTAAATTCATCAATTTATTGGTTTTAAACAAATACAACTTATTAAACATTGTTAATAAAATACATAATATATTTGTATTGATCTCGGTATTTTCAAGTCTGGTTGACCTTAGTTTTTTTGACTCGGGTAAAAAAAGAATTAATTTTTCTAACCTGCTTATTTGTTAGGGAATTTGCCTGTAATAATAAATAATAATAATAACAATTTAGGAAATCAATTAAATAATATTATGTATATTATATAATTTAATTTCATATTCCGAAGCAGAATATTTTTCAGAGTATTTCGATAAATAAAAATCAAATTTCAGACAAATAGTTAATGAGTTTGGCCCGTTTCACATGGGCGTGTATCATACACGAGTACACGACACATGGTCCACGCTTGTTTTTTAGTTTACATTAATTAAGTTCATACATGTGAAACGGCCTTATACGTCATACCTAACTATTTAAGTTAGAAAACTAGGAAATAAACTAGGAACATAAATATTAGATATTAGAATATTTTCTGTCTAACCACTAAGGTATATTAAAAATTAAATTTTAAAAATATCTTACCATAATAAAATGTTTAGACGTCTAAAAATGATGTCAAATTAAAATAAAACAAATAATATTTCAATTTGTTATTTTATAAAAGTAAAAAAACTTGTGAAAAATCTTGTAATGAATTTTCAAATCTTAGATTAAAAAAGATTAATTTTTATGATGAATTTCTAACTCAAGATAATTTGCACATTTACGTGATTTCTATGTAGTTTGTCAAATTTTTGAACTTCAAATGTTTATAAAAAATATTGACTTAGTGTTTTTGATATTTACTATATTTAGTATCATAACTATACATTAAGAGCCTTGAATTAAACTTTTAAGCTTTTTTACCAAACAAATAAAAATTGTATAAAGATTTATAAATGTATGGAATTCCCAATGCACCCAGATTCACTTTCTCATAGAAAAAGCAACTGAAGTTGAAAATCGAAGCATTATTTCAACAATTTATCATGCACGTCTATACTATACGTGTACTAGTGTACTTATCATTTACTTAAAAAAACATACATCATTGTAAAATCAATACATTTATAGCTGCGCTCAGAATCTAAAATAATATTAAAAAGTGCGGTACCACTCTGATGCATTAGATGTCGAGTGAGTCACTTTAATGGATGGTGTTTAATGTGAATTCTATAATATATCAATATGTCCAAAATACAATTTTGAGAGATATAAGCCTAAATAAAGTATGTTTCATGTTTTTTGATATTCCTATATAGSATAGGTATTATTTATTTAATTAATTAAAATACAGTTGTAAATTGATTTAATTTTTGCTGAAAATATTGCATTTATTTTATTGTTAATATTTAAATTGCTATAATCAAACAGTAGAACAGTGTGGATACATTTATGGTAACTACAAATAGTTAATAATTTAAAATAAGGTAATCTAAATATTTTTTAAATATCATTGTATAGGTATATTAAAACGTATAATATGAGTAAAAGTGTTCACGAAGAATATTTTTAAATTACAACAAAATGACAAAAAACTAGGTATATCCTTTATTTAAATATCTAATTTCATACAATTTTTAACTTCAAATGAGTTAAAAAAAAGGTCAAGCTAAAATGCACTTTACCACACCCCTCACGAATTTCAAAACATTTTTTTTTAAAGACAAGGTTTTTTATACTCATTTAGGAATTTTTTTTGGAAACCATTATTTTGGAAGTTATAGCCCTCCAAAGTTTGCGATTTTACGTTTATACGCATGCGCGCCACACTATAGTTTACTGCTGCGCAGAGCAACTCGAGGTTTGACAACTGTAACCGGCAGTCGAAGGTTCCTTTAATTTTGAAGACCGGAGCCACTTGTGTGTTACCTACTTTAACTTACATGGTTCAGTTTACTTATTAGGTCATTCGTCTGCCCGTAGGGTAGGTACCTCCCCCCGCGACCCTGAAGGTGTCAAGCCCCCCACCGGTTAGCTATTTAAGTCCCGGGGGGTTTGGGGGCCGTGCCCCCATCTAACTCGAGGTCTGGACCTCGAGTTTGGCGACCGGAGCCAGTAGGCGAAGGGAGCCACTATATACTTATATTACTTTAACTGACAAGGTACAATATACTCATTAGCCTGTCTACTTGTTGATAATTGCAAAATAACTTAATAAAGCTTATTTTATTATCATAAAGATAATTTAATTAACAATTTAGTAATAATGAGATAGTTATAAAATAGCGATATTGATATAAATATAGAACGTAGTCCAATTAAAATTGAGCGCAGTTGGTGTTGAGCGCAAACGTATTAACTTAAAATCGCAAACTTTGGAAGACTATAACTTCCAAAATAATGGTTTCCGCACAAAAATTCAAAATCTTGAAATGTAAATTTCTAAAATATAAAGAATAGGTACAGAGATAATGAATGATTGTCATTAAATCAATTACTACAATCAATACGCACTGTCAACATTGTAATTGAGTTCATCTGATGTTTGTGTAATACTTGTTCTGATGAGATAATCGAATCGATAGTTAATGTATTTGTTGTATGTTTCAAATACACCGATTAACTTCTGATCAAATTTTATTTCATTTATTAAATTTTCAATGTTTATACCCATTTTTGACGGTCGAAAAAAAAGTTTACAATAAATTAAATTTTTAATTATATACTACACATTTGTTAGTGAAAAACCCGTTCTTTAACACTTATGAGAAACAACGGAAGTAAAATGAAAAATGTATAAGTAAAAATTATATTATAATTTATAATAGCAGATCATCAAAAACACGAATAAAAAGATTATAATATGAATAGTAAATAATAAGTTATCACATCATCATACAATATTATACAATAAAATCTAGACAGTCGAAGGGTTATCACGAATCACTACGAACGACCGTCATCGCTATCACGGTGTAGAGAAGATAAGGTGACACCGCTCTCGTATCTTTCAATGGTACAATAGGCATAAATAGTGTGACGTCCCTTGTCTATTGATAAGACCGACGGTTCAAAACAAACTGTTATCACGGTTCATTCCATACGAAATACATGGGTCAAAAAACATGTTTGAAAAAAATTGGTTTTAAGTGCATATGTATTTTTTTCTTAGAGTTCTAACTATTAAAAACATGTTCTTCACAAGTTGATACATATATACCGATCAAAAATATGAAGCTAAACGATTTTTTCGTCAATATAAACAAAGTGTAGTATTTAGTATTTCTATGGCACACACGTTATACCATATACTCTATGCATTATCAGTTAACAAATCAGTTAAGTATTATTAATATTTTTACTATTACAATTCTTACATAACAGTATGTACTATTTTCCCTCCATTTTACATAATAAGTATGTTTTATGCATTGTATATGGTTTTATGACATTACTTATATGTATAATAATTTGTTGTGTTTTTCTTTTTGAGCCATTTGCTTGCCCAAAGCTCTGTTTCGGCGGTCTCATGTGTCAGATTTCCTTTTTGAAGAGTTTTTTTTTAAGTGAGTATAATATACGTTAACATTAATTAGTCAATTTACTAATGTAGGAAAATGAATTTTTTTCAGTTAAAAAATGTGACGTCAAACAGCATCATAAAGCTATTGTGCATCATTAATTTTATTGATGATAAAAAAATATTTTCTAAAGGTGAAAATTCTTTTGAATGTGGCTATGCCAAAACTTTTGATTACATACCTGATGTGGGTATACTTAGTGGTCAAGTGCATGCAAGTATGAAAAATAATTTGTATGATGTTAAGGTAAATAAACTTTGTAATTTTGATTGTATCATTTATTATATGATTCCTAAAATAATTATAATATTTAATCTTTATAGATATTTTTCAAAGATAAAAATATTGAACATGCCAGCTGTACTAGTCCGACAGGTTTGACAAAATGTCATCATATGGTTTCAATTCTTTTACATGGGCATAATAATATATCTGTAACTGATATATCATGCAGCTGGTCAAAAAAATCTGTAAGAGAAAATGATGAAGTATTGACTATTGATGATATGTATGAAAATAATTTTAAAGCTGTTACTGATCCACACAATATTGATTTTAAAGCTTTACACTTTGATAAATTAACAGCAACTAATCAAACAGTTGGACTTTCATGGTTAGGTTAGGTCCAGAACCTCCAATTGAGGATTTAAGTGATATTCTTCTATTGGAAAATGTCCTTAATTCTTCAGAATTTAGAAATTCTAAAAATAGTGTTCAAATGTTGTCTGACAAAAATGTCATCTGCAATTCTTATTATATGGACTACTAAATCTTTAGTTGCTTTCAAAATGTATAAAGATCCAAATTGGTCATCAAATATTGATATTTTATTAAATTTTTAMCATCATAAATTCATACCTTATAAATTAACAGACAATTAATTTTTATACATAACAAAATTTCTAATCTATTTATCACATTTATGATATACTTGGAATAGATAGCCTTATAGTCTAGGAATTTCTTATAAAAAAAATAAAAAATATATATACTTGGGTTAATTTCATAATATAATTATAACAAATGGATTAATATAACTTACATTTTCATTATAAAATTTGTATCCTTTATATATATATAAATAATTAATAATAAAATAGAATCAGATTCTTTATAGATTCTATATCCATGGTTTAAAAATCGAAAAATATGATTATAATATATTTTATTTTTTATTTTTATTAAATATTTTTATATTTTTATTAAGTTTTGAACACCACTAGCTACACCTAATTTTAAACAATATAGTAACAGATCCAAATTGGTCATCAAGTATTCACATCTTATTCATTCCTTATATTAGTTCCCTATATAATCACATTTTAAATACATATGAATATTATAATATATACTTGGATTAGTTTAATAATAGAATTATAATTTATAACAAATGGATTAATAATACACACATTTTCATAATAAAATTTATATCCTTCATATTATAATAAATAATTTAATAATATAATTTAAAAAAAAAGTTTATTTGTATTAATATTTGTACAGAGGCGCCATTTCAGTTTTTTTTAAGGGTGTGCATGCAATTAAAGAGGCCAATTTTTCCCACCATCAGGCCAATTGTCAAAAAAACGTTTCTCATCATATTTTTTCTATACAATTTTTACTATCAAAAAAACATTTGGCTTTCATACATAAAATATTACAAATTAATAAATTTAAAATTAATATTTTAGGTATTAGATATCATACCATTCAACTATTACTATTTTGAAATTTTTTAACGCATAAATTTAATTAATAGTTAGGTACCTTAGGGTGGCCCTTAGCTTACTCTTGTAAATTTTTTTTTTAATTGTACAGTTTACGGCACCAACCCATTTTTTGTTAATGCCCAAAAAAATAATACCTGCAAAATTTGAAATCKATCATTTAATTTTAAGCCGTGCCCCCGGGCACTTGAAGTTGAGTAGTTTTGTAATTTTTTACAACATTTTCTAAACATTGGGTTATAATTTTTTTTTCAACMAAAAAACATTTAACATTTACTATTCTAGGTAGCATTGTAGCAAACTTTATGATGATTTCAAAAATGTCACTTGACATTAATACATAATTTATTACTGGCATAGTTATAATTTAATGAAAAAAATAAGTAAAAGCTCAAAAAATCTGGCATAACCGTTCTTTTTATTTGTACCAGTCAAATGATTCAGAATACCTTAAAATTACTTAGGGACAAAAAATGTATTGTAGTATGTAAATTAATATACTCGTATATGTAATATTAAACTAAAGTCTAAACAAATATTAGTAAGGTTGAAGTAGTTAATATATTTGTTTAAAAATCATGTAGGTATTAATAATTTTAATCTAAACACAGTGTTTATCTTGAAAATAATCTACCAAATTATTATTAAATTATAATGTAATTGATTTCACTATTTCAGTAAATTATTGTGGTTATAATATGAAGATAAGATTACAAAAACCGTTTATATTTAATTGTATTGTACCTTTTGCTGTCATTCAACAAATTGTGTTCACTATTCACTGTTTGCCTGCAGATAAGTTTAATTTGTAGTTTTGTACTTATGTTTCATCSTCTTGTACACTGTTGTTAATATTTTACGTTTAATAATGTCTTATAATATATGTTTACGAGAGAAAATTTATTTAATTAACAACTATTCAAATAAAATATCAGGAAGTAAATTACCATCTAATTTAGAAGTATTGAAGACTTTGTTTTTTAATTTAAGAGTCGTAAAATTGAATCTTCGTGAAAGTGCTAGATTAATTATTCGAGAAGTGTTTGTTTTTTGGGAAAAAGCCCGTATTCCAGTAAGATTAGAAAAACACTGTATATCTAAAGTTGAATCTTTATACGATGAGTGGAGAACACTTCAAAAGCATGCCACAAGAAATACAGAAAGTCATAAGGAACACGAAAAACTGTTTATTTCAACATTTAATGATTTATTTTATGTAACCCATGTTGATGCTCTACAAATTATGAAAATCGAAACAGATAGACTATTTTTAATAAATCAACGAAAAAAAGGACGTATAGGATTTATGTATGGCATTGATTATACAAATATGCGAAAAGAGCAACTTTCTATGGAAAGAAAAAATAAAACATTTGTAACAGAAAAGCGAAGTACCCAATCTGAAGGTAATTGTAAATGTTAATTTATGTTTTTATATATTTGGTTCAATAAATGGAATAATATTTATTTTTTTTTCTTAGACAATTTAATGGAAATAGACAAAATATCAAGTGACTTAGAGATAGACGACTTTTCTAGTCACTCATAGATGGACGAATCTTTTAGTTCCGTAGAAATAGATGTTGGACCTTCATCATCAAAACGAGTAAGAGGACAGAAGAACATATTACATAATTACTACTAAATTAGTTTGTGCACCAGACAACTGTAAAGTAAGTGATAGGGGGCAATTCATATCATTATGGCAGTGGTAGAAGCTCTAGAAAAAAATGTGGAGGACTTTGTTATTAATAGGACATCAATTCAACGTTGTCGACAGATTTTGCGTAAGGAGAGAGCRAGTATAATAAAAGATAAATTTCAAGAAAGTGATCTTAAAGCTGTTGTATTACACTGGGACGGCAAGCTTCTTCCTAATTTGGTTGGAAAAGATATTATTGAWAGGCTAGYCATTGTAATTTCAAGTGGTGATACAGAAAAATTTTTAAGTATTCCAGTTTTACAAAAAGCAACGGCAAATAAACAGGCAGAAGTTATTTACAAAACTTTAATTGAATGGAATATACAAAATTTGGTTAAAGCTCTGTCGTTTGATACAACTCCAGTTMACCAGTTCATAGTGGTCGATTGGGTGGTACTTGTGTATTATTAGAAAGGCTTTTAGGAAAAAAATTATTTTATTTGCCATGCAGACATCATATTTATGAAATAATTTTACGAAGCGTTTTTGAAGAGAAATTAAATAAACCATCAGCTAAAGAAATATCTATTTTCAATAGATTCCAGCTTTCGTGGAATAAAATGAACAAGGACAATTTTTCTCCAGGTATTTCGGACAAACAAATTAAAGAAATTATTAATCCACATTCAACAAGAGTCTTAAAGTTTGTAAAAGAACATTTGAAAATTGTACAACCTCGAAACGATTACAAGGAGTTACTCGAGTTAACAATGATTTTTCTTGGCGCTAAACCAAATAATACGACTTTTTT